CACTTTGGTGGCATAGTCTGTGGTCACTTTGGTGGCATAGTCTGGGGTCACTTTGGTGGCATAGTCTGGGGTCACTTTGGTGGCATAGTCTGGGGTCACTTTGGTGGCATAGTCTGGGGTCACTTTGGTGGCATAGTCTGGGGTCACTTTGGTGGCATAGTCTAGGGTCACTATGGTGGCATAGTCTGGGGACACTTTGGTGGCATAGTCTAGGGTCACTATGGTGGCATAGTCTGGGGACACTTTGGTGGCATAGTCTAGGGTCACTATGGTGGCATAGTCTGTGGTCACTTTGGTGGCATAGTCTGGGGTCACTTTGGTGGCATAGTCTGGGGTCACTTTGGTGGCATAGTCTTGGGTCACTTTGGTGGCATAGTCTGTGGTCACTTTGGTGGCATAGTCTGGGGTCACTTTGGTGGCATAGTCTGGGTCTCGCTAGTGCCACACTTCAGTGTCACTTCAGTGCCATAGTCTGCCCTAATTATAGTCTGTCATAACCAGAATTAGCCAAATAACCAAATAGCTTAATTAATCTGACATACTGTAAAAAAAAATTCTTTAGAATTTGTAGAAAAAATTCCCAAAAGTCTAGCAATGGCATCATCTCCTATGACAAAAACGATAAAGTTAATTAATTTACTGACACATGAATAAAATGTAGAGAACTTCATTTAATCAATCAATTTTACATAATTTGCGCTAGAGTGCTAGAAAAGTTATAACAGATATGACCTCCTTCCCAGTTTATAGTCTCAAATACTTTACTTTAGTTATAGGTTAAACATCAAAAGTAAACTAAGGACCATAAGGAAAGGGAGAAAGGGAAGGGAGGGAGGGAAGAACAACATGGGAAGGCGCTGCAAGCAACTGAAAACGGAGTTATAAGAATTTCCCTTCCCAGATAACCCTTGACGTGTTTAATACTGCATCTGCAGCCCGTCTTCTGTTGCACCCTTAATATTCTTCTCAGTTCCCCCTGCCGGAGGAGACGAAGTGTACCTAATACTATATTCACCCGAGCACAGCCTCTTAAGAACACTATACGCACCCTCCCATGATAATTATACGCACTCACTCTCTCATGACCACTACATATGTGTGCATCCTTTCTGCCAGGAGCATTATACACGCACCTTAACCCGTCATTACCACTTTATGCACCTTTCCTCTCTCTCTCTCTCTCTCTCTCTCTCTCTCTCTCTCTCTCTCTCTCTCTCATCCGAAGAAAACACCCCAGCAAATAATTTCCATGAAAACGGTTAAATTCCGTTTCCCGTCGCCATTACGAAGCGGAGCAGCACATGGCTTGTCCAGTAGCGTAGAGCAACTGACTGACGGTGATTAACCGAGTTGGCACTGCAGTTAGTGGGGGGAATTTTGTCGTGTCAGAGTGTCGCCCCAGTGACCGGGGACGGGGGGGGGGGAGGGGAGGTTGGCTGGTTCAGGCATACGTTTGACAGTTCTATTTTTCATCAAACTCCAATCAGGTTACAGATGCGATACAGTTTCAGCAGTACAGTTCACCACGTGTGTTGACGAATTACCATGTTTTGTAATATTATATTATATTATATTATATATATATATATAACTGAAAACTCACACCCCAGAAGTGACTCGAACCCATACTCCCAGGAGCAACGCAACTGGTATGTACAAGACGCCTTAATCCACTTGACCATCACGACCGGACATAATGAGGTGATAGCCGAGGCTATTTGAACCACCCCACCGCCGGCACTCGGATAGTAATCTTGGGCATAGCATTTTACCAAATCACCTCATTCTTTGGGGCACACGTGAGGAACACAGTTTGTGTTCCTCAATATATATTGAGGAACACAAATATATATTGTAAAAATATATATATATATATATATATTTTTACAAGGCATGACCTATGTAGGTATGAATACCTGCTGAAGGCCTCGGGGGGTGACAAGAAAAACCGTATCTTCTCCATTCCAACAAAATCAATGTAGAAAGGATCGTCGTTTGGGCTTCGTGGATGGTGAAGCAGGGGAAGTGTATGAGGGAGGGTCGCCGCCCGCCTAGTGCGGCCCCATACCAGCCCCCTCGCGGGCAGCGGAGTGAGGGGCTGTGAGGCTCTCAAGCAGCCTACAGTGATGTTACTTGGAGGTTAGTGCGTTCCCAATCAAATTCGGCGAGTGTAGTGTTGAAACAAAGTGCATTAGGGATTTCCCCGAGTGTTGAAATTGTGTATTAAGTGTGACGGCGGCCTCTTGTAAGCCCCCTCCATTACCCCCCGCCCGCCCGCTCAGCCCACCCGCCATCTTCCCCCACGCCGCTACCTGCGCCCGACCCAGCCGCCCATCAACACACAGCCTACCCATTCACGGTGCCCAGGCCATGCCCAACTCCCCCAGGAGGGTAATGCTTGCCTTGTTACACTCCTTTTAGGACGGAAGGAGAGGGTGCACTCAGTGGGCAGCCAGGCGTCGGGACATCCAGGCATGGCACATGTCGCACCTGACACCTC